CACTGTTTCACCCCCGCTCTTCATTTGCTCGAGAGACCTGAGAGTTACACTGATGCATTATCCATATTCTGGAACACGATTGGTACTCTCATTGCTAGTTATATATTTTTAAACGATCACAACATATGTCATGCTTCAGTGGGCTGATAAGTTCTTTGCCTTTAGATGTTGAATTCTGACGTATCATTTTTATCGCATTTTGATACCTTTTCCAAGCGAAAACACACCCAAGCTGAAAGTAGGTAAGCGCGTATGTTTAATTTCAGACATCAAGGTAAACTTTTAAAAACTGGAGATCTACTTTAAGTCAGAAACGAATGTCGCTGTGGATTATTTGTCAACAAAAATCGAAGCTATTCCTGACCAGCCAGCCCCTATCTAGCAAGGTTCCTGCTCACACACCTTCCTTGAATATTGTCTACTGATTCAGTTAAACGGTTTTAAAACGGAAAATCCAATAGTATGGGGAGAGTCGATAATTTCCAAACATGTGCATTTTTCCTAAAAGGTTTCTTCCTCTTTCAAACTATAGATCGGCCCTTTTTCTTCATTCCTTGGAGAAAGTCAAATGGAATAAACATTTTTTTCAGTTCACGGTTCCGGAAAAAAAATGAAAAAAAAAAACGCAAAAGTCAAATTTGTTGGAAATGGCAATCAAAGCGAAGAAAAAATCGACGCAGAGCCACAGTCTTTGAAAGGTAGACTTTCCTGTGATGGACCAGATAAAATCTCCTCAAAATATGTCGCAAAAGCAAGTAGAGTACGACATACCATTATTTCACTTCTTAACCATATTAACTAAAGTAACGTTCCGTTTTATCATCGCGAAACAATCGTACGATTCTAAAAAAATAAAAAAAAAGACCGTTTCAATTGTTCTGTAATCCCGAAAAATCATATTAGATTGGAAATATATTGACGGAAGGGAAGTTGTTTTAAAATAAGATGTCTTCCTACTTCTCAACGCTTATCGTATCGCATCAATCAACACTTCAAGTTCAGGACCAATTGGAATATTTTTCACCGGCATTCATCAACCTCTACCTCCTGATATAGATGTTAACATAAGCTAACGAGAATTATTATCCTGTTTAATTTTTTTAGTTCACAACAGCGCCATGAATTGTTTCTTGTTTTTCAGGTTTCTCTCATCAATAGAATAGAAATTGTCTGAAACATCATTATCGATAATCATTCATTCATTGAAGAATTACATTTTCTAACAGTGCCAGTTAGAATTGGTGACGTGCTTGTAACCAGTAGGAATCAATATAACTGACCTTAATGTATTCAACAAAAGTAATTGTGAAAATTCAAATTCATAGAAAAGGATTAGAAATGGATCTCGGCTGGAAGATTCATATCGGAGAATTTGTAAAATTAGAACAGCACAAAGTTTACCGGTTGACTCAAGTTACAATGACTCTTTCTTTTGACATTAGAAGATCTCCTGTTAAAATTCCACTTCATTTCAGGTAAATTGTCGCAAAGAAAAGGGACAATCATAAGCGTGTGATACTGAAAACGTCTAAAAGTGGCAAAAGATCGAGATCGAGATCGAGATCGAAGATTTCAATTAAGATATTTGTGTGTCTTACTTAAGAAAAGTACGTACGTGATGCACATACAAATTTGTTAAGGATTTCGTTCCCCTGTTTAAATAAAATGTTTCCTTCGTACTTTAATATTTTGCTTGGATCGCTATCGTTTACTTGAACTCAGATCTGATGCAAATGGAAGAAAAAAAATCAACCATAATGAACAAAAGGGAACATAGAAACCTCAATGAAGAGGGAATTTGCTTCTGAGCACTATAAAAGAGATATTCTGATATCTAAATTACCAAGTCACTTTATAGAGCACTTTATAAGAGATTTATGGAAGAGATATTCCGTTATCTAAATCACTAAATATGCCTTAAGTTTATCTTGTCAAAGTTGTTTTGCATATTCCCCTAAAACCCAGCACTTAAAGGGTTAAGAAACTTATTATTTATGAAAAACTCGCATGCAACCGATAATCGAATAAAGAGTAACTGGTCAAATGCAACGAGGAGATTCTCTCCTAACTTTTTTTTTTCTCAATCCTAAACAATCTTTGGACCTACTCCTTGTTTGCTTCCTTGTTTGTCATTGCTTTAAATGTTGTGAGCTCCTTATATCTATAATTTGTGGCTTGTTTTCATTTCGATAGTTCTATTTGGAGTGAGAAAGAAACCCAAATAATGCGAAATTCAAGCAGGCTGAACATGTTGAATTTTAGTGTTAAAATTATCACTTAAAAGTTGTTCGTCTATTTCACCCACAGAGCATGGAATTCACAACAGAATTGGGTTTTACCATAGCGTTTGCTATAGTTATGATCTTGGCATTGGTTGGAAACTTGTTGCTGATATACATTGTCTGGAATACACCTGAAACGAGAGGTCTGACAAGTTTCTTGTTCGTAAATATGGCGGTAGCCGATCTACTGGTTGCAGTAATTCAGATGCCCCTCTCCATGGCTCATTTTTACTCCACTGGAATGACTGGTGTGGCGGGTGACCTGTTCTGTAAGTTTTTTAACTATCTTTTGCAAGTGTCGATGACAGCCTCCATTCTCAGTTTGGTTGTGATGGCATTTGATCGATACTTCGCTGTCATACACCCTTTGAGGCGAAACATCTGGTTCCGAAGATCCAAAATTATTCTACCAGTCATTTGGGTCCCATCCTGCACTTTAATGGCAGTAAATTTAGCCTCTTACGAGGCTAATTATGGAAGGTGCTTTTATATAGAGAAGCATATCCCAAGCGTTATCCTACTAACGTACCTACTGGTCATCAACTATGTCTTGCCTCTCGCCATCATTTCCTACCTGTACATTAAAATTACGAGAAAAATATGGTTCCACGAAATTCCTGGTCAACACGAAATTTCTCGAAACATGGCAGATGATCAGATTCCCAAGAAAAAAGTCCTCCGAACGCTCATCATCGTTGTGTTGGTTTTTGCAGTCTGTTGGTTGCCCATGCAAGTGCTCCAAATGGACTACGTGGTGACGGCAAGAATAAAATGGCATCCTGCAGCCATTTACTTTGCCTCTTGGCTCAGTCAGGCTAACAGTGCCATTAATCCATGGCTCTATATCCTGCTCAATGGTAAAATGAATGGAGCTTTTCGCAGAATGATCGGAAGCCAGAGTGTGAGAAGCAGGGCATTCAGCAATACCAGCCAATCAACCATGGCCGTAAGCTTTCTCAGAAATGACTGCTTGGAAGATACTGCAGTTTAAGGGTCATAGCTGTACTGAATACAACAATAAATGATTAGGTTTAGCCTTACGATATATGTAGGTTTACATGATTGTGTTTCCTCCGAGTATATAGATCCCACAAAGAAGATAGTGCGTAGAGACCAATGAGGTCATTAGATCAGTCTCATGTGGAAGGCAATTGAAGATCCACACATATTAATTATCGAGGATCCTGACGTTCAACCATAAGATGGCTGAATCACATGAATTTAACGTGTCAGTCCCCCAAATACATAGCTCCCACCGAGAAAAAATGCTTATAGACCGTTTGATGAAGATACGATTATGAGCAGGGTATTTTGCAAACAACTTACTATCATTATCAGAAGCTTTTCGATTTTTTAAATCCTTTTATCTATAGTTGAACAGACGCACGGACACATGGTATATATTTGTTAACTGGATGTCGTTAATGTGATGTACCTTCCTCAGTTTTTCCTATCAAAACCCAAAGCGAACCGCAGTAGTTCCGGTCTCTGCTGGTTTACTCGGAAAAAAAAAACAGTTTCTCTGTGGAATCATAACACAGGTCTCAGTCCCACTTGCTAATGAACATGACGAAGGCGTGACAACTTCCATATCCCCATAAAAGTTCCTCCAAAAGTTATACAAGGCCACTGAATATTCATCTTGCTCATCGTTCCCTTAAAAGACTTAACAGTTTGAGAGGAACTCCCTTCAGAGAGGAAAATACATATATTGGCGTGTGCAGAATTATACACACGTTTTGATTGGTTCTTACAAATGATCAGTTGGAGGACAGACGCATACATGACGTCACCAGGAAAAAGTTATATTCCTTTATTATATAAAAGTGTCATCAGTGATACACTCGGTTACGCCCCGCAATTGTTTTGCTCTTACCACATTTTAACGTCATCTGTGATCTTTTACTGAACAGCAAGTTATACTTTATTGATTTATTCATGAGAAAGAAAATCTGGACTACCGTGAGAGTCTTGCTCTTAGCCAAGAAGAAGAATGTCCGTTTCCTTCAACGATGTGTCCGGCTACATAATTATTCTTTCGTTTTATGCTCTAAATTGTATCTTTTTCTCAGCCAATGAGACAGCTTTACTGTCACACAACAACCAGCGCTTGTTTAAAGAAATCAGTCAAATTGCAGAAAAATGAGAGATATCTTTTGCAACTTTTCAAAAACCAGCTCAATGTACTGAATCCATAAAATATTTGACCAAACTAAAATAAATGAGCGACTGAATTTGCCATTTTACAGTTCATGTAATAAAGTGGAAGATTTTGCTGATTTCACGTGACTGTTTTGCAGAGGTCAGCAAAGAGATGTACAAAATTTTCATACTCACTTGCCGAGCTATTGTTCCCAGTCTACCAATGAGATCTTTTGTCCTGCCACGTCCTTTATGCCGTCGTCGTAATGGTTTGCATAGGGCTCCTACCATGCTATTTTAGGTAAAGGCTTGACTGATGGACTTCAATCAGTGTACAGTTGGTCAAACTTTGAAGAATAGAGATCAGTCTTTTTCATTTAGCACCATACTCCACGACCTAAATTTTGCCTGCTTCCCACGGAGACTTTATTCAGGTTTATGGCTTTTTTATTGAGTTTAGGCGCTGTCCGATAGTTAAATTTCCTCTTCCTGCGAAGACAACTTCGACCCTCTAGCCTGTTCAGTGAGGCAAAGACACCAGTCAAGAAAAGCTGTATTTTACCGCCCATGCTTGTTCACGTGACACATACGTGATGTCAAAGATCACCGACTGTTAGTGGCACATTGAGGTACGTTTCTTCTTTTTAACTACAAGTAGTATTAGAAGAAAAACAAAGAGACAGACAAGAAAAGACAGACAGACTGGCAGGCTAAAACAGACTGACCTACTGGTTGACTGACTGAATGAATAACTGACTGACAGACTAACTGAAAGCTTGCTGACTAACTGACAGACTAATTGAGTTGTTACTTGCTCAGTTCCATGTAAAAACTGACAAAAACCTTATTCATTACGAAATCATTATAATTGATAATGGTAATAGGAACAAGTGGAGTCCAATTCGGTCAGTAATCATACGAGTGATTAACAAAATCGTACGACCGCGAAGCAGAAGTTCGATTTGTTAATCACGAGTATGACCACAGACAGAATTGTAGGACACGAAGTCCTGTTACCAATTAATCAAAACTAATGAGAAAGAAACTAGAATCGATTACAAGTTTTCAGAAAAAAAAAAACAACAACAACAACATCAGCTACCTCGGCGAAATGCGAGACAACAGCGCGTGCACGTGACGGTTCTGTCCACTTACACAGGCATGACGTATGAACTGTCCCTTTAACTGTCCTACTAAACCGTCCAATTACAAGCATGATGCGTACACTGTCCTATTGCTGCTCAAATCGGGCTGGTAATAACCAGTCGCGCTCGAAAATTTTGTTATAGTTTTGATTAATACAAAGTGCGGTGCTCGTGCTTATGCTGATTGCATGGTTGTGTGTGCCGTGCGAGTGCGAAGATGATAATTGCATAGTGCAACAGAATGATTGACTGACTAACCAACTTACTGACCGTACCGTCACTCTGACTAAACGACTGACAGCCTGATATCGTCCCTATTCTATTTCGAAAGTGTTGATCCAAGCAATATGCTGGAAACTTATCAGATGTGAACCTTGTAATGATATCGTTCACCACTGAGTTCGAATTCTCTGTCGCTCAGTACAGCGGCAGAGCACGGAAATTCAACAACTGAAATCTTTCTTTGGTCAGACGTTCTTCACTACAAATGACATCTTTCTTTTTGAATATTTACTAATTCTTAACTTGTTGCATAAGTGGATACAATAGACTGATCTCACCGGAGTACTTTTTTTCTCTCTCCATTTTCATTAGTAACGGAGTTCTTTTTAAGAATGGAGCAGCTTCACCGCCCAGTCTCGAACTGGCGATCTTCGTCTGGTAAAACATAACAAGTGCAAGGTAATCACAATAACCACATGTACATTCTCTTAAACTCTACAGTTTGTCTTGAAATTAAACTGTAGGAGGGGACAAGATTCGCTTGCCCGTTAAAATTTGTTGGCAACATTTACCTCAATCTGTGGCGCCAAAATTGTAACGTATGAAGGCTTTGAATTAGAGAATACTGACCTTGTTACTGATCTAGTGCAAACGATACCCAACTGAAAAATCTAATGCATTTTTCACTGCTTCTTGAAGTAAAACCCGAGCTGAAAGGCTTGAAAGGATTCTCTATCGTCTGAGAGGAAAGACAGATCAATATAGCAGAGAAACCTGCGGCTAATTAAAGATAACCTTCCACAAAACTATTCAATTATTCTCAATAGGAAACTGGATCTTATTTTTTGGGATAATCACTCAGGAAGTGTTTTAATTTAGAATAAGTAAATTCTACACCAGCTCTAGAAGAGAATTCAATAAACAAATTGTGAATTTTTATCTTCGTTCTTACTGAATGTTAGTACTAGTTCTGAGTCACATGCTAAGGAAATTTCGCAATTCCCTGTTTTGGCATAAATGATTTACTTGACTACCTGCTTCACTGTTGTATTACACTCAGGTACCTCGTTAAATTTATATAGTCGCAGTTGAAGGTTGTAACACTTATTTGATTCAGTGCTCCAGATGAGGAAGATTTCAAGTTGCAGATCGTTCTGTTTTTAAACTTTTCCCAGTGATTGACATCTTATTCAAATCAGTGCGATCCTTTCAAAATTTAACCTTCGTTAAATTTTTGTACCCAAGAGAATCTTATCGTCGATACAGAAATATGCTCCCACATTCATTTCACAATCTATTATATCCATTTTGACATTACCGGTGATCCTTGTAATCTGATTGGCTCTCACCGGTGCCACTGGTTCACGAATCGCACCACTTTTCGCTCTAAATCGCATTTTCCAAACCAATGAAAAAGCTTTACTATAACACAACCACTCACATTTTAAGGCTTGCTTAAAGTAACTTACCACAGTGCTGGAAATGAAAGACAACTTTAACAACTTTTTATCAACCATCTCAGTTTTGAATTCATAAAATGTTTCAAGAGACTAGAAAATCCTGTAAATGAGCGACTGAAATTTGCAATTTCAAAATGGATGTAATAAAGTGGTAACTGAACTTCAAATATTTTATGCATCGTGTCGTGCGATTTCGGTCTGTAATGATATACAAGCAAAAATTTCAGCATGTTCATCGGCCGTGAACACGTCAATTATTCCCAAACAATGCCGAAAGTTGAAAATCGAGTGTTAAAGTTGAAACTGGCTTCAGAAAGTTGAGTTGATTGACAGGTAAGTCGCAAATGCACAACAAAACAAAATGACGGCAAAGTGCAGAAAAAAGTTACAATTTCATAGTTTGGGAGAGAATGCTAAAATCGAAAAACCCAAAGGAACGAAAAAAATTGTAAAAAGTCGGTAAGACTTGGTCTTCCAAAAGAAAGCTACTAAAGTATGTACCGGAGGCCTGAGTAAAATTCTCGAGGAGTTTTACGCAACAGTTCGTACGAAAGACGGGGGGAAGGTTACCAACGCGACAGCTATCATGTAATGGTTACTGCTGTCGACTGATACCAAAAAGAGAAAGAATACAAAACCTCGATTATTTGTGATCGAGAGCTTAAAAGCTTGAAGCGAGTTCTTAAGGGAAAAGCTCGAATATGCCAACAAAAGGCAAAGGCAAGCAGCCGAAGTACTGAGCAATGACAATAAATTAAGATAAAACAGAAAACATTCATATTTTTGGTTATATCATTTTAAGTAGCGATCTAATGATTTGTCTTGTGCACTTTGGGATAAATTAGCTCTCACTAATGTTTCAAAGACTACAAATTGCACTCGCCCGCAGTTTGGTTTGTGCTTGAAGGTTTACTCGTGCTGATTTATCCTAAGTTGCAATCGAAATCATGTGATTACTAAGACAATTACACTCCTCTCAATTCACTCACCAAGATAAATCGTCACTTTTACTAGTTTCAAACGTGTACCATGTTAGATAAACTTCTTTAATTTTTCGCTTCAGCCACACACTGATTGTTATATCTCGGAAAATTCGGGACAGGCAGGCTTGATTGGAAGACTTTATGACACATGTAGGCTGTATGTTATGCATTGATATAGTTTGTAGCTTGAAATAAATCACGCTGTAATATTAATGAGATGGGTTGGAAGAGTTATTTTAGATTACACGAGCATGCACCAATGCATTTGAGGTATGAGTTGAAATAAGTCATAGCTCTTACGAGTTGGATTGTTATAAACTCATAACGTTTGTAGCATGGATTGGAATACATTTCATCGTATAAACTAAGGTGTTATAAAAGGATTTTCAGCCCCGAGGAAAGCCTTAAACAACACACGTGGAAAAATAAGATATTTTTCACGTGTATTAGATATCCCCAATCAGCTGATGACACGTCACTCGCCTTTCGCGCCACTCGGTCAGGTTGATGAACGAAACGCAAAGCCATCACCATTCTCAATCCAAGGTTGTTTGTAGGATTATGTTCGGACTATAGCTGCTTAAACACTGAAAAATCCGTATCGCTTACAGCGACGTTCAAACTTTCCTTGAAGGCAGAGAAAACCAGTATACGAAAAGGAAAACCGAAAGTTATGTATTCAATGGCTTTGGTAATGGCATTTCTCGCGGCTGAGGACGAGAACCGACAACTGGAAGCTTTGCCACAGGCCAATTTTGCCCGTGTATCTGAAAGATTTCTTCTGTTGGTAAGGAAAAAGTCAGTGAATAAGAATTTTGTAAATTGAAAATTACACCCATAATTGTTTTTGTATTCATAATTCATTACATTTTTTTCATCTTGAGCCTTAAGCACCAACCCACTGTGCAATTTTTATTCGGGAATTGTCGATTCCTTTATTTTCATTTATTAATAAAGTCGCCCTTTCTTGTCATTGAAGAGCTATTGTGTTTAGAAGATAAACAAAATGATGGAATTTCTCTTCTCGTTCTTAACGCGACATCTCACTCGTTCACCGCCCTCACTCGTGATGAGCTATCGAGTAAAACACTCGAAGAAAAATTCCTTATTTACGCGCGCCCGTGTATTATTCTCTATTTAGCAGTTAGGAAGGCCACGCCATGGAAGACGTCGATTTAAAAATGAATATATATTTTTAGTTGGAATCTCGCGAACTACTGGATGTGCTTATCATCTCTTACGGCGCCAAAAATTAATCTCACCATAACGTATAAGAGCGGCGTGGAGTACTAAATGGAAACATAAATAATTTTCCTTCGGGTTCCCTTTTTGAGACCACGCAAATTTTAATGATTTCAAGTTGTTATTTGCAGAGGACGGCTAAGAAATGTACACAGATTTACAACGCAAGTGCTGGGCTATTGTTCTGCTCATTAGATCTTTTGTTTTGCCACGTCCTCGTTGCCGTCGCCGTCGTGGTTTGCTAAAAGTCCCTATTCTCTTTAGAACACGTAGCTAAGGTTTCTAGGTGCGCTTATAGTCTATGACCAAAAGACATTGGTATTTGGATGGATCATAATGAAAAATTGTATGGATCGTTATTAAAAAGGGTTTCTGCAGGTTTACTCTGAAAAGATAACTAATAGCATGTCAGCGAGCAAACTTGATGTTTTCAAGGCTCAGAGACTAAACCTCTGAACAGCCATTATTACATTATTGTGAATAACAACTCTACAAATATTCTCTTTCGGTAAAAAGTCAAGCAATTATGAGGTTAAAAATAGCAAAGTCTTCAGATCAGTTGCTACGGCTCGTTTCATGCCCCACCTATACCTCAGTTTCATCAATTTCTGGTTTGGCCTTTGGATGCTACCTATGTAGTGATTTCTCAATGGATGTTGAGACCCCTTTGTTGAATGTCTCAAATACAGAAGTAAAGTAGTGAAGATCTTCATTCATAGGATGAAAATATATTCCTAATGTAACAATCATCAGTTACAATTGTCCGTTATTACTACGTCTTTCACCCGTTATGAACTCAACTCCTCTCTTTGACTAAAGAAAATCTACATTAATTTATTTTTTGATGTGGAAGGTCTCGTGGCAGCGAGGAAGAGGGTCACTCTTTGCGCAAATATTCTAATAAGATCTGCTATGTACAATTTTTCCATTCTTAATTACAAACTTGATGACATCATCATGGCCTCCTAATTGATAAACAAGATGCTCCCACCTGAAACATTCAAACAAATTGATGATTTACTAAGAGAGAGAGAGAGAGAGAGAGAGAGAGAGAGAGAGGAGATGCATGTGTTTATCAAATTTTACAACTATTTGCCAAAGGCAAACTTAATACTCGCTAATTATCTCAACATGAAGTTGCATGAATTCTTCAACAATACTTTCTTAGCCTAAGGAGTAATTATCTGAGTGTACAACTCCATTTTCTTTTTTCATTGCCTTCCTCAGGAATATAAAAAAAATTGCCTGGTGCTCAATCATAAATTACAGTAAATCAATCAGCATTATGAACCACATGTTAGGGATAACTACAATACAAAGTAATTGTATGATACGCCCAATCATAACACTCATTTCTCTATCATCACCTATTAAAAATCACTCTAAATTCTAGATGTTATGAGTTGAACCTTTTCATAGGTGCCAAACATATATGCAACAGTATCATCAATGTTTTTTTTACCTTGGAGCATCAATAATCAACATGTCAGCAACTTTTCCAGGTTCCAGAGATCCATGAGTGTGTGACCTACCCAGAGACGCTGCTGCATTAATGGTGGCTGCTGCCAGAGCTTCTTCCATTGTCATGCCCAGATTAACGCAAGCAAGGTGCATTGTTAAAGGCTGTTCAGAGATCAATCAAAAAGCCTGTATGTCAACACATCTCTGGCCTTCAGAACAACACTTCTATGGCACGAAAAGTGGGCTCATTAGACTAACTTTACACCACAAGTCTTCATTAACACTGTACTTCATTGTACATGACATCTTAAAAATAGCACCCAACACCTGCTAAAACTTTTTTGGTTTGAATCAATCTTTTTTTTTCCCTATGCCTTACACATAAAAACTAGGCCAAAGGCTGTATGCTCAGGAAGGGGAATTATTTCAAAACATTTATCATCAGTATAATATTATGATTTTAAAACAAAGTGTGACTTGATAACTGCAAGATAAGTTGTTAGTGGCATCCAGTTAATTGACCCTTACCCTTCCTCAATGCAAGTCTCAAGTTAACATTATTTACAATTATTATGTTGAAACAAAATTTATATGATATCCCATACAATTTAGGTGTTATAATAATTAATATATTCAGACAAGAATTCTTTCAAAATAAAAAAAATAATGTGCTACCACAAACAGCACTTTACCATAGATAGGCAGAAGGCATTGGGGTTAAAATCAGATCCAAGAGCTACTGGTACACCTGTTTGAGAAACAAACAAGGTGCTTATTATATAACGGGGCTAAACTGTGGTTCTGCCTCAGTGGGAGAGTAATTAACAGGGTAATTAAGTATTATCAACTGAGTGGATTAAATTGACCACCATTAAGAGTTTAAAAGATGATGTTTCAAGCATTAACCTTTTGTCACTCTGAGGAAAGGCTGACACTCAAAATGTCAGCTTTGAAACTCTTTATAGTGGCCAATTCATGTTATCAACTCAGGTGGGTGATAATACTAAATTACCCTGTTCATTATAAAGAAGAGGACTCTCTGTAAAGCAAAATTCTCTGCTTAGTTTTTGATGGTGGAGCCATTTTCACTCTTTACACTGTTCTCATGTGACCACATTTCTCAATGAAAACTTTGAACAATCAATACTGCTCTGGGATTTGCTATTTTCCAACCAAATTTGAACAGTACACTTTTATGTTGCAAAACAGTACTGAAGATATGAATAGAAGGTGCTTGTCTGATCATTTAGTCTGATCACCTGTTGTTTGTTGTAGTGACTGACAATCTACAATCTGTACAGAAGTCATTGTTCCAGTTGTTAGTCTGATGGCAAGTCAACTGAAAGCAATGAATTCTTCATAATCTCATGGTGATTTCCATCCAGGATGTGAAAACTCCAGTCAATGCTTCACACAATAGCCCTTCTCAAGACTTCTCCTACTATGATGATCAGAGTACATGATCACTTGAACTGTTGCTTTTAGGATCATCAAATCATTGATCTCCTGCACCACTGATCATATCTTCAAGGGAAATAAGACAGTCACTCGTATTTAATGTATGTACCTGATTCAATCATCTTTCTGGCTGGAGGACATTTAAGTCGCAAGATGTATGCAGTGGTAGGAAGGAGCACAGCAATAACTGATTCTGCAGACATGGCTTGAATTCCCTCGTCACTTACTTCTTCAAGATGGCTTATTGCTCTAGCCTTGAGTTCAGCCCCTAGCTGATGGGGAGAATGATGATCTAAGAAAAACACATAACTCATACACCAGATGGGTGGTCTGTATGCCAAAAAAAAAAAAATTGTTTGCCAGGTACTGAGTACTCAAGACCAAGGGCACAGTTTTCTCAGGAGGGACCAACCTTAAGACTGGTAAACAACTTGTTCAAATTTTTTTTCCTCCCAGTTTTCTCTTTTCCACACTGTCTGCTTTATAGAAAGCTGGGTGCGAGCACATCATTAACCAATGAGATTCAAGGATTTAAGATTTCTGCCTGCTAAGATGCTTCAGAAAAGCAAAGAAATGGCGCACACATCTTCAGATCGTTCTCTTCAGTTAATCTATGAAATGTTTTTATTTTTTAAAAAAGGAAGTAGTGAACAAAAGGAGCTCAAAATTACATGCCATCATTTAGTCTGTGTACCTCAGCAGCTTTCATTGGATGTAGTTCATCACCATGAAAATTGACTGCCAGTCCTGCAGCTTTTCCTGCTTTGAGTATTCTTTTGGTTTCATCTATACCAAACACACCTTTCTCACAAAATACATCTATGTTGTCAACAACTATTTCTTTGTTTTTCATCAGTTCTTGAAGCTTAGGTATCTGGTGATTGATCACATTGTCAGTTGCCTCTTCCAAAGTACTTCCTCTAGGAGAAAAATCAGCTGTATCTTTAATTGGAAAATATATCTTGTTTTTTCCTGCATGATAAGTAACAGAAGGTAACCCAAATGAATATGAAAGCAATCTTTGCAGAAATAAACACTACTTAAGCAGCAGTGACAATAATGCCAAAAAAAAATGTTCAGGCCTATATGGGATTCAAACCCATAATCTCTTTGATACTGGTGCAGTGCTCTACCAACTGAGCTAACAAGTTCAAGTCCCACACCGGCCTGAATTCTTTTAAGGACTCTGCAGGATATTTTATTCTTGAGAAGATCACTTTCACATTCATTTCTAAATCCACAACTCACAAATATGATTTTCAAATATTTTCAGTTAGAATGTAACACAGGCAAAAAAAAAAGGTGATGGAAAGAAATGTACAGCACTACACACAATAACTTATTCTATATTCTTCAACCTTGCAATAGTAAATTTTCTTATGAACTTTACCCACTTTGGTACAGAGTGTGCTCCACAAAATGTGCTGGATATCTCAATTGGCAGCTCTTTTTTAGCTTTTTCTAAAACTTGTAGCATCTTCATCTCTGAGTCTACATCCAAACCATAGCCACTCTTGGCTTCAACCAAAGTTGTACCTGATCTTAACATTCTCAGAAGTCGTTCTCTAAGTGATGTGTATAGTTCTTCATTGCTAGCCCTGCGCACATGCTCCACAGTGAAACCTATTCCTCCTCCAGTCTTGTGTACGTCCATGTATGTAGCTCCAGCCAGCTATGAATGAAAAAAGATTGTTATTGACAAGTATGACATGAGCATCAGAGGTTAATTAGTTCAAAAAGAGAGATAAATACCACACCCCTGTTTTGAAAATTTAAATCATATTACCTTTTGAACTCTGAAGTAAGGATTAACTCTCTTATCAATGATGAAACCAACCCTAAGGTTATGGCAATGATGGAAATGATTACCAACTTAACCCTTGAACACCCAAGATATCATTAGTAATACTCCTTTCTGTCTGCTATATAATTCTTATGATGCTAGTTCTGAGAATTTGGTACTGGATCAACTAGAAAATCCTCAAACTTATATTTTTCTTTACTCTTATCACCTGTCTGATTGATATTGTTTTGATATTGTAAGGAGAAATTCTGTCTTGGTCACTCATAGCAGTTAAAGGGTTAAAAAGCTTTAGAGTGTTAATTGATTCCCCTTTTCCTTACCATAGAAAATGTATAAAGAATGGTGAATAAGCATTCTGATTGGCAGACTTACCTTCATGGCAAACTCATGCACTCTGTCACCTACCCATACCGGATGAGTGTGACCATCAATAAGGCCTAAAATAAAGGCAACAAAGTTTAGAAATGAATCCTAATGCATGGCTGTGGACTGACCCTTGCCATAATTGGAAAAATTCCCTATTAGGGGTGACACACCAGTCATATTTGTGGCATTTTATCACTTGTCAGAACCAAGTTGTCTAATAGGAGTTGTAAACAGCCACACTAGCCAGTAAGCCATGTATGACTCCTCCTATTAGACAACTTGGTTCTGACAAGTGATAAAATGTCAGTTCTGACAACTTGAAAGGAGACAACTCGCCATTATAGGGTTAGCACATGTGCACAAATATGACTAGTGTGTCACCCCTAATAAGGAATTTTTTCCAATTATGGCAAGGGTCAGTCCATAGTCATACATGGTAAATCTACTGCATACCCCTAATTGGAAACACTTTTTGTTCAGAAAGTCCCACATGTTTCTTCTCCCCACAATTGTTTCCTTGTACAGATTTCTATGAACATTTCAATTATTTTTCATATCTTGCATGGAAGCCCTTATTTCGTATGCTTCCCTTTAAAATTATGTGCGGGAAAATCACGCACGGATGGTCAAAATTTATCCCCTTGCTTGTTCAGGACAAATTTGTGCAAGTACCCAACTAATGTAATTAGCACCTTTACACAAGCACTCAGGAATGCACACGCACCAACATGTACTTAGCATATCAGCACTCGCACATACCACCTAATTGATTCTGTAAACGTTACGTATATGAATGGTTAAGCTTTAGACGCAAAACTAAAGGTTGAACACCTCTACCCACACTCTCCCCTCTCGCGACCAGCTTTTTACCTGCGCTCGTTGTTATGTCCAAAACTAATTAACCTAAACGAGCTCAACTTACCGGGCAAGACACACATTCCAGAAGCATCTATTTCCTCGGTGAACGTATGATTGCTATAGTCTCGATCTACCTTCTCGTCAAAATCAATACATTCGATTTTTCCCGCGCTATCGACAACAACAGACACACCTCTGTCCTTTGTTCCTTCGACAATAGCCAGCTTTTTCATAGAGTCTCCCGTCAAAATTCGTTCGCCATTATTACAGACTAAAACTACTTGCTTCGCATGTCGAATTCTGAGGTTATACATGATAAAATTGTGGTAATTTAAATATATAATTTTAAAGGAATTCTCTGCGCTTTAACCCGTGAATTTTACACAAACTTCTCAATAGTCAGCTGTTACTCACGCATTAGCATGCGCTGCTCGCCTTGGAGTTTCCATGCCAACAGGCAACCTCGTTATCACTCTAAACACAAGATGGCTGATGTTCCGCTGAAACCCCTCTGACAACATTAATGTACCTAAGAGGCAAACTCAGACATCTAGTAACGTCGTGCAAGGATTGCTTTTTCTTGTTTGCAAATAAGGAGCTTTTGTCTTTTTAAGGGGTTTGAATCAACTATAAACAGTTGTTTCCCACCACAGAATCCGTGTTTCTTGTTGTGAACTTGTATACAAGTGTAGTAGGGTTTTACAAAGTAGTCCGGGGTCTTTGCAACTCCTTTTCAACAGCGTGATCAAAATGTCTCGATCGCCTTCTCAAGGATCAAATAAGCCACCACGGAGTGGTAAGTTTTCAGAGATTTATAATTAGATCATTTCTCTCTAGGCGTACATTTACGTAAACTTTATCAGTCTATATATATATATACATCGCAGTTCTAGATTAAGTAGTGATTTGCAATTGCTCTGGCATTTGGCAGTCGTTAAAGTTGGTGTATGGCTGTAAATGTACTGGTAACTCACTTCGGTTTGCAAACTAGTAGACACAAAATAATCTTGAATCTGATACCTGTTGGAAAGGCACATTATTGGAGTCAGCTTACTTCGGTTTGCAAACCAATAGACGAGAAATAATTTTAAATCTAATACCTGTTGGAGGGCATATTATTGGAGTCAGTTGACAGGTCACTCGAGTTTCATCACACTTGCAAGCTGAGAATAGCCATGGAACTATTGAGATAATCAAGAGAAATCTGGAATTAGATTGTTTTTTCCTTAGGTTTAATCTTTTTGTCTGGTTATAAAAGAAATTCACACCCACCTTACATCCATTCAGACTGAAATCGAAAGCCAATCATCAATTGGTGACCAGTATTTTCCTTTGAAGCAATTCAATGTAATTTAGATTGATTTTTTAACCTGGATTCTTGCTTTAAACACCACAATGTTTAAAAAGGTGTCAGTGATAACCAAGATTTTAGTTTGAAGACTCTTATAATCAATAAAGAGACCTAGACGATGTTAGCTTAATCACTGTTATGTACATTTAGGGGGACAATCAGCCTCTCGACAATCTGATAAAGTGGCATTGCAATCTGCAAAATCAAGTTCTGGTAAACACTCGGCTTTATCAGGTAAGTACTATATCTGAAATGTTTGTGAGAAAAAAAAGTTAAAAACTAGCATAACACAAACAAATACAATTCCATCTTGTTCTTGAGGGACTCAGGACAGAAATCTGGTATATCTGAGGCTTTGTCATCAGGATGGGTGAAAATGCTTGACAGCAAGAAAATATACCTTCCATGGTGAAGTGTGGAAACGTTTCCTTACCTGAGAATTCTAAACTTGCTTGGCTTCTGGAACTGTTATTTAATTTTGTATTTGACAGTCACACATGATTAGGTTGACAGAAGTAATTTTATTCATTTTCTTTAACCCTTTAAC